GGGCGGGGTGGGGCCGCCTGAGCCGCGCAGTCCCTCAGCAGGGTCCAGAGTGAAGCGCCCGCGGGAGCGTGGCGCTGGCCCGTTGCTGCCGCAGAGGGAAGCTGGTGGCTCTGGGGAAGGGGAGAGGGAAGGTACTCCCAGGTCCCCTCCGGCTCCGCGTGCCGCGGGGGCGGCCGAGGTGCCCTCAGCTTCGGTCGCTGTTGGCTCCTTTCAACACAGCCGGTGTGGACGGAATAACAAACGGTTTTCAGATTATAAACTTGCCTCTTCTTTGCTTGAGCCAGTTGCATAACTTTGAGCAATCCATAAAAGAAATGAAAAACTGAGTAAAACGCCCAGATGTTTTCCACTTCAGATAACGCAACAAGTTCCTTATCCCCCGATCACATGTAAGGCTGGCTGGAACAACTTGAAAAACAAAATATGCTTTGGGAGAAGAGCTGATCTGGTAGCTGGAAGAAAAAGAACAAGCAGACGAGAGAGTGTAATTTGAAAATCTTAAAGAGGAGGAAAAAAGCTTCACCTGTTACTACTGTTATGGTAGTGCTGCTGTGTTTCTTTTAAATTCAAAGCCTTACTGTCATCCTCATAAAAACAGTGAAAAAGTGGAATAGAGATTGGTTCATGATGTCAAATTTCAAGCTGTCATTTGACGTAATTGTTACTGTGCAGTGGTATAATGTCATCTTACTTGGACCACGTTTCTTACTGTATATCCTTTGTGTTTTAATCTTTAGGATGTGTTTGCAACATTAAAATAGTTCAATCCTGGTAAATGAAATTGCCATTTTTTAAATAACACATTAAAGTCCTGAATTGAGGGCAAAATCAATTACTGGGAAGGGTGTGCAGTATAAGGAAACTCATTAAGTAACTGGTTGCAACCTAAGTTTGAACACGTTTCTAGTGTAAGCTGCAAGAATCTTGGCAGCTGGTTTTAAGCAAGTGCAAGCTGAATCCAAAATGGTGCTGTGTGATTTGTAGCCTTGAAGCTTGGGTATCCTTTCACATCTTGCAGTTGGTGTACATTGGTGTACATTCTGTACCTGCGGCGGACCCCTTACTGTGCTGAATAGCAGACTTCAAGGACTCAGGTGGTGAATTAGTCTCTTGTGCTTAGTCAGACTGAGATGCTAATGAGGACGCTTGTTGGCAACGCTCATTTTCTGGGATGTAAACAGCTGTTGACAAAGAATGTGAATGAGATCAACTCATGTCTCGCAATACAATGGCCATCAGATATCGCTAACCTTACGGAAGTTAACAGTTAACACAATTGCCCTGGCATGCTCTTACCGCTAATTTCAGTCTTTATAGTCAGGAGTTCGAGATCCCTTTTTTCAGAAATATGTTAATCTTTAGGCTTAGAAAGTTTTGTAGCTATTAAAAATAATCACTGAATATAGATCACTTATGTACGTATACCATACACCAGTAAATGCTTCCTTTTCAGGTCATGGAAGTCAGGTGATACTGTGATCAGTGCCCGAGTGTTTAGAGAGAAAGCAGCGAGTGGCAGGAATTGAATGATGCCAGTAAGAGCAGTACGAGCGGATATGGTTGTGTTACCGTCAGAGGATAAATACAGAGGTGGTAGGTGTGTCTGAATTCTAGGATGGACTTGGCTTTTCTTCTGTAGCCTTGATCAGGTTCACAAAAACATGTGTGACGGTCCACTGAAATCTGTGCTTTTGTGATTTCTTGGAGAGGTATGCTTTCCTGAACTGGGACTGAGCCCAGCACATTCTCATAGCATCTGTATTTCTGCAGATAAAATTGGGAGAGAGATGAATTCTCACCATGTTTGTTAGCATTATAACCTCTCTTAACCTTGCCTTCCTTGAATGGCAATATAATTGTGAAAAGGACATCGCCTTAACAGCAGCTAAAAGATTATTTGTAGAGATTGTTTTTCAGCCTTGTAGCTGAAACAAGTCTAGATAAAATGGTATGAAACAATATACTGGCATAGCATTACAGTAAAAAACAAACCAAGAGAAGAGACCTGGCAACTCATTTGGACTGTGTACTACATGTAGCCCCAGAGGGAGAATGTAATTTAAATTAGCTCTCCAGAACGAGGTCTGGTCCAAACATTTGAACACTTTCTATGAATCTGGTTGAGGCAGCTACAATGTTACTGGCACCCTTCCAGCGTTTCTGTCAAAGCAACGCTTTTCCTTAACAGTCTTGTCCAGTCTGTGCGGAAAAAACTGGACTATGTCCACATCCCTTGCGATACAGTTGCAAACGTTTGCAGAGCTTGCTGTCTAAAGACTTTTAAAGTCAACCTGTTCCTTCTTAATTTCGACACCATATTTCCATCCCATCTTAAATAATTCCTTTTCAACTGCAGTGATTACAATCTGTGTTGTCAGTCATCTTGCTTCGTATCACAGTTGCTTATTTCTTTTTTAAAAGGTCTGCACAGATTGTTTCTAATCAGCTGCTGTTGATGATTATTTTCCTCTAAACTCAATACCAGTTTATTCTTTGCCTGTCTCTTAATATAAGCTAATGTGGTCAGTTATTACTGTGTTTCTTTAGAATTCGAAGTTATGTTGCTTTTTAAAGAACTTGTTAATAATAATTGTTTAAAACTGGTAACTGTAATTTGCTAGACTACTTTGGTGGTTAGTAAAAAATGCATCTATCTGTTCATTGTGTTTAAAAAACCACCAAAACAACCAAACAAACCACCAAACAATCCTAATGCCAAGGGGGGAAGGTTGGTTCCATTTTTGACTATGTGAATCCAGAAGTACCGTCCTGATTATTTAATTAGAGAAAGGACAGTAAAAGACTTAGGTTGCTCTTTAGCTTATGTTTGTAGAATCATTGACAGCAAATAGTGGCATTTTTAACTTCCTGGTGCCAAAAATCAGAGCTTTTGAGGTAGCATTTTGCATCCTAGCTGACTTGATCTGGGCAAAATCAGTAATTTAGCAGAACAGACCTATTAATCACAATGAATATTTGTTAGATTTTAGAGTAGATGTTCACAAACAGAGAGCACTGAGGTGCAATCTTAGAATTACTAGCATTTTTAAAGGTCATTTGTTATGTTTTATTTATGAAAACACTGTGTCCAAGGTTTTGCATGATTTTCCAAAGGAAATTTTGAAAGCTGGGTGAACAATGCACTTTCTGAAAGGACTTTCAAAATGAAACTGTCCTTTTAAGACAAGGACGTCAGCAGAGGGATTATAGCAGAGTTTAACGTTGTACTTCCAGGTGGACCCTTCTCTTCTTTGCATATTCCAAAAGGGTAAAGTATTGCAGACTATGCCTTGATTTTGCTATTAAGAAAGCCTGTTCTGCAAATTAAGTGCATATGAGGCTTGTACATGAACTCAGGCTGCCATGAAGCCAATATTTAATGGGGGCCTTTGTATTTTACTCTGCCAGTTACTTTTCTCGTGACTGGGGGCTATTTTTAGTTTCTCCTAAGGAAAAAAAAAAAGTCCCCCTGTGTTTTTAATAGTTTGTATACTGTTATGAGCCTTTGTTTTTCTATCTGAATGTGACATTTTCTGGACTGTTCTACAACAGATTGTTTGTCTCACCTGAATGTGTTCTTATTTATTTTGCTGATATGAAACACATCTAAAAGCATTTTCACTGTTTCAGGCACTTGGCTTCTTGTGGTATTCTGATGACCAGAATTTCTCCTTTGCAAGTACCTGTAATGAGCCATACCTTTTCAAGAACTTTCTTCAACATTGCTGCTCCACTAGTAAATAAAAGAAAAGAATATTCTGAAAGAAGAATTATAGGGTTTGTATAGAAGTGTGGAAAGAGACTTTATACGCTTATTGATTTTATGTTTGCTGTGATTAATCTGAAACGCTAGAAGTTCAAAGACTGAGCATCCCTGAAGACACATGCCCCTATGACTCTGCTCAAATGGAGACTAGGAAGGAGTTTTGACTTTCAGAATTTGTAGAGATCAGGCTTTTCCAGTCTGAAATTGAGTATAAAAAGTGTAGGAACCCAAAACTCTTGTCCCATAGAAAGAAACAGCAGAAATAACCCTTCTATTCCATGACAAAACAAAAACAACCCTCAAAGGGAAGAATACACTATTAATTTCATCTGGTGAAATGGGAATAAACCAACAGGTGTGAAAACTCTCAGTTTGTTCCCTTCTGTCCCAAATACATGCTAATGTTTGCACATACATTACGTTGTACTTCTCACTTCTCAAGATTTTCTTCTTTCTTTAAAAGAAGGAAAATAATTTGTTTTTTGAGGAAGAAACTTAGGCACATAGAAAAAGATTTTGAAATCCTGTTTGCCTTAAAGCTAGTGGGGAAAATTCCAGTTAATTTAATGAGACTGGCATCTGCCCCCAGTCTCTGATCCACAATAGAATGAACTATTTGTTTATTAGCATAATTTTTTGACTATGCTTAACATTCATTTATGTGATAGTTCTTGAACTGCAACAGATTTTGCATAGTCACTTAAAAAGAGCCTTTGTCCAATAGTACTTGCTGTTGAGTACTGTTGAACATATGCTTCATTTTAAACACAGATGGAATTAAGCATGTGCTTCAATTTTTTTCTGAGTCAGAAATAAAAATTTAAAACCATAGCTACGTAATACTTTGCCACGTTACAGTAGAATCAACTAAAATGTTGCCATCATATTCCTTCATATGATTTCAATATCCTCTTGAGCAGGGGGGCTGGACAAGATGACCTCCAGAGGTCCCTTCCACCCTCAGCCATTCTGTGGTGCTGTGAGGTTTTTCCATTGCATGTATTTTTTAATTAAGCTTTTTTATTTGGGCTAAAATAAGGAAAGTAGTGTTCCTCTATTTAAACTTTATGAAATAAAGTACTTTAGTTTTGATACACCTTTTCTTGGTAGCCATCAAGTGTGGATTCCTTATCTGGAATGTCTAAGATCTACCTAAATGAAGACAGAGCTGTGCTGGAAAAACTATTTTTCCATTTGAAATGTATGCATATTTATCTGATATTGCAGAAAGTAGCAGACACCAGGTTCACTGTTCACTAACTTTACTGCTGGATGTTGTGTGCTGGTTTGCATCTTTATGCAAAGACTTTTACCAATTTATTACTTTTTTTTCTCTTTTTAATTTCCAAAAACAGTGGTAGTGTTTTCAGGTGACTGTATGTTCACCTTCCAAACTGCCCATGCCATTTATACCATCTTTGAAACTTTTTAATATTGAATTTGAAGTTAAAATACATTATAACTAATGTTCTTATTTCTGTTTCCAGGTATTCTATGCAGGAAATGTATGAAGTTGTTGCTGTTGTGGAGAATTACAAACTATTTGTTCCTTGGTGTAAAAAGTCAGATATATTATCGAAGCGCTCTGGATACTGCAAAGCACAGCTGGAAATAGGATTCCCTCCTGTAGTAGAGAGGTATACATCGGTTGTTACCCTAGTGAGACCACATTTAGTTAAGGTAACTTCTTTTTTTTTCTTTCTAGCTGTAGCTTTTGTTTATTGAAATTAAAATAATTCACTGGTACTTTAAAACAAAACTGATGCTGGAAATGCTTTGTGTGGCTCAAAACTTGTGTTGCTCTTGTTTAAAGACTCAGGTTAACTGGAGAGAATTTGAATGTGCTTTTAAAACATAAGCTGCCAAATGGCAGGGGGGGTAGGGGAGAATTGCCTTTTAATCTCCTTTTGCTGGAGAAACTAGCAGCCATTAATGAAGGTATACCATTTTTGTTTGGTTTTGGTATAATTTTGTCCAAGCCTCTCTAAATGCAAAATTAATACTGACTTAAAAGTTATCTTTGACAACCATAGCTTCTGATGCCTTAGCAAAATTGGTATCTGTCATTACTTTTCTTCTGACAATTTTAACTAGCTAATACGAGAAGTCTTAAACTTAAATGTAGGATCGGCTGAAGAGCTTCTTATTGAGTGTATTGATGAGAAGATAGAAGAGTGGATTTAAAGTCCATTTATTAGAATTAATTTGTTCAGAAGAGAAGCAGTTGTATTTCTCCTCCTTTCAGCTTTTCAAGAGCAATAATTAAAAGAAAAATGTCAAAGGAGAAATTTTAAATGATGTCTGGATCTTCTAACTAGTTTGCCTTATACGTTCAAATCTGTTTTGATTAGGAACAGCTCAGAACAGATTCCTTACAGCAAAACTGCTTCTCCCTTCATGTGGCAGATCTTGACTATTTTTTGGAAGAACTAGTGGAATTACAACAGTTGATTGCTACAGTTGAAGATAATTGTTTGGATATCCTATTTCGCTATTCTTTTCTAGGCTTCCTCTTAAGAGACACTGCTCAAAACAGGAACTGGTTTCTTAAGTACAGGGGAGACATGAATTGGAAAGGGAATATGCAAAGTGCCTTTAATTCAAGGTACTTACTGATTCTGGAAAGAAAAAAAAAAAATCTTTCTCCCTTTCTTAAAGAAGTTGAACCGCTACAATGGAAAATCTGCATTTTACATGCTGACTGCTTTCCCTTTCTACTCTTCCATGACAAGACTGGCTTCTTCCTTTCATATAGCTATCAGATTGGCTTACCAACACTTTTTACCTCTAATTCACTCAAAAGAGGATTTCTTGTTTCAGAAAAGATCATGAAAGTGGCAAGGAGAACCGTTTCTTTAGATTTCCTCCTCCTAGACTTACTAGCGTTTTCTCTCCTGGGATTATTTTTCCGAGAAGTTTACATTATGTTCATATAACTGTAGGAACATTTCTAGAGAAGCGACTGTGTGTTTGGACTACTTCACTGTCCTCAGAAATAACTCTGGGCAAAGGCAGCTTGCATGGCGATCTAGCATAGCGGGCTACTGGCGGTGACAAAATGAGGACGGATTTGTTGCTTACGGCAGCAGTGCTTGAGCAATGGAAAAATCAGACTGGTAGCAGCAGCTCTTGCCGCAGAGGAAAGCACGGAGTGAGTTTGCTACTTATAAGGTTGGGAGCAAAGGGGATACACTGGCAATTTTCCCATTCTTCCTGCCCTTTTGGCAGCAGCAGGAAAAGCAAGCCCAGCTCTTTGTGTCTAATCTTCTCTCTACTCCTCCCCTTTCTGTTGTAGAAGTAGCAAGACACTGCATCTCATTGCTGGGCAGAAAAATGTAGGTATTTTTGTGCTGCTGATTAGTTTTTGAGTTGGCTTACCTTACCACGGCTTTCAAACCACAAGCAACACCTATTCATCATGGGTAGTCTTGTTGGAGCAGAGCTGCTTGTGGTAACAGTAAGACCTGTAAAAAAAGAGTCAAAAAAAGTTACAGAAATTCTCTCTAGAAATTCCAAGACAACTGAGATTATGTATTTGGATGATTCTGAAGTATGTGTCTTTCAATCGTTTTCTCTTATAAATATAGCCGTACAAAATTAGCTATATGTGCTACAAGCAAAATGAGTGAAAATAAGGACCTTATTGTCATGAAAACTATGAAGCCAACTACTGCAAATACCTTATTGTTTTAAAGTAGGATTGTATGCAAGCACTCCTGAAATGTTAGTTAAATATGGCTTGCTGGTAACTAAAAGCCAATGTATAAGCTGATTATGAACTTGAGTGTCTAGTCTTACTGACTTCATGGTAGCTCTTGGTGACAATAGTATCTTGTGACAGATGATGTTTGGCGTTTGTCTTCAATCAGGTTTGTTTTGATGCTAAGCATTCTAATAGCCCAAGACTACCAGTCTATATACCAGTATATAAAACATTCTATACATGGAATGAAAAAAAAAAATTAAAACCAGTAAATATCCATATCCTTTGCTTAAAACAGTGCTGTTCAAAATTCTGGTATATAGCATTAGCATTATTTTGGTGTTCTATGCATCATGCTAGAGATCTGTTTTATGACTCTCAACACAAAAATTTTTCCTCTCTCTTAAAAGGGATTCAATTACTTTGCCATAAATGACACTGTGCAAATAGGATCTTATGCTGGCTGCACTGTAAGAATAATTTTAACTATGCCGTGACCTCCACTGTCTAACAAAATGCAAATGCAAACTTCAGTAATACCAATTTGTCACATCTGTAAAAGCCTAATTGTAGCTTGACGTTTTAAACTTTCTTTTAGGCATCCTGCACGGATGGAAAACTATTTAATCACTTGGAAACAGTGTGGCGTTTCAGCCCAGGTATCCCTGGTTATCCAAGGACATGTACATTGGATTTTTCAGTGAGTATTACCACATGCTTGGAACAGGGCATAGAAACAGTATCTTCAACTGTATTGTTTGTTTGTTTGTTTTAATGGCTGGTACTTTTTTTTTTTTTGAAACATATATGCATGGAAAACAAGTTAGTTTTAGTCACTACTATTAAAAAAAAAAATTTGCAAGCATTACCACATGGAAACCACTACAGTCTCCTTTTGAGTCATGTCTTCTGTGAGGTGTCTGCCTGTCATGAAACAGTCTAGGCACTGGTATCTCTCACCATATCTCTCACTGTACAATTCTAAACATGCTGAAGTTTTTAGACAGTCAAATACAAAGGGAGAAATACTAAACATACTTTGCAATTTCCTTTAATTACTCTACAGTACCAGAAAGTAGGTATTCTCCCATCTGTCCTGTTTGGCCTGCAGTTTGGTCTATTTAATTTCCTGGCTTCCAATTTTAATCTTTCATGTATTTTAAGTCTTACTCCTTCCTTCTGTAATACTGGTATGATAGATTTTTGCTGTCTTTCTACTCTATAATGGGATATCACTGTGGCTCAAGACTATTGCTCTTTAAATCCAGTATCTCATTTAGCCTGTTACTCCTAGACAAGTTGTTTTCCACTCAAGTTATTGCTTTTCCATTTTGTCTATTTAGCCTGTCATCACATTTTTTTTCTTGTATTTTATAGTGTTAAGAGTAGGTGTTGCATTGAGCCCATAACAGCTGGGGTTCAGAACAGGCTACAAAATTACACAGAAATGGGTTGATCCTGCTGCCATCTACTGGGATACTCTGCTTTAAAAATTATCTTCTGTAAATAGGAAAAAGGGCTTTTGGAGTATTTGTAAACTAGCACATTAATCTCCTTGAGTTAATAACTTTCAACTTATTGCACTTCATACAGTTCAACAGTAAAAATGAATCTATAGGCACTCAAAAAAATACATTTCTCATGGGATTTGCCAACGATGTTTGCATGTTATTGGCTCATGGTATTTGAATTTCTCCAGGCACATAAATGCCAGTTCCTGCTACTGACCAGTACATCAGCCAGCTTTTAACCCAAGCCGTAAACCAGTTGAGAAAACTTGAATTAAGCAAGTGTTTAAACCCAATAATCTAAATACTTTCTGAGGAAAGTTTCTGAGGAAAACTTCCCCCCCCCCCCATCAAAGCCACCTTTTGACATTTTGAGTCAAGAACTTCAGCTAAAGGGAGTCAAAACTGGACTTAAAATGGACTTTTTAACTTTCTTGGGGAAACACTATCGATACTTCTTAACTGCTTACCCCATTTTGAGGTAGCAGAGGCAAACCTAGCCAGCTGAGCAGGGGGTTGCCTCACAAAGGCAAGTCCTTAAGGACTCTAACCCTTGCTGGTTGTGACCTGCTGTGTCCCTTGCCCCTGGGCCTATGCAGATAGGGATGATAAGCATGTCACAACAAACTTCTCAAAACATGCTGTGCTATTACAAATATTTATGAGGGAAAATACTCATTCGCTTTAGAAAATGTAATTTGAGTTTTGGGTTATGCTGGTTCCCACAAGCTACTGCTTCACTGTTTTGCCAGCCTGATGCCAGGAGACATATACATACAGCAGGGAACTTTTCTAGTTTGGTTTCAGTTCTTAAATGATTTGGTATATCGATTGAAGCACACCACCATTTTTACCACCTGCAAACTTTATAAATGCATACCATACCTCAAGTTTTTACATAGTTACTGAACATAATGCAAAACTCATTATCCCTGCTCTGCAGAACTCCACATGCTCTACATGACAACTCTCAGACTTTCAAAAGACACATTAATTTTACTGATGCTTGAGGTCAAGCAAATGTAAATGCAGCTACACCTGGCTTACTGTCTAAGTAGTTTAATTACTGCTGTGCTACTGTTTCGCTGTTAATACGCATTATGCATAAGCAACTTGAGAGAAGCTGTATTTGCTCCATTTGGCATTTAATCTGGTGATTTCTCAGGAATGACAAAAATACTTAAATCTCAATCCAAAAGACATGCTATAGCAGGAGAGCAACCTGTTTCTTTTCCAGAAAATTCTGTCATCAGTTGGGGAAGCTGTGTATTCCAAAACAATGTGATTCCATAGCCTTAGGGGAATGTTATTTAACTAGACCGAAGGCCAGCACAGCGCAAAAGCATAATTCAAGGCTATTTAACATAGAAGTGACTGTTTCTTTTGAGGGCAGAGAAAGCTATAACTGTTAACTACTACAGGAGCTTCAGTTTAACTGTAAGATTAGTAGCTAAAAGAAAACGTAGAAGTTAGGTTCTGAGCACTGCAGCAGGAGGCCCGAGGGCTGGGTACGGAGGACTTCACCGGCATGTCTGTGCTGACACTGACTGCCCGTCAGGACAGCGAAGGTCGAGAGTGGGAGGTGTTCAAGGTAGGAGTTATGGCGCACACAAATGCAAATTTTTAACTTCAGTCAGTAAATTGCTCTTGTTTGAACATACCTTAACTACAGCTCCCAAGATGGAAAGACTGATTTAAAATGTTGGTATTTAACAGGTAACTATTTCGAGCTGCTTTTAAATGCCTCTTGGGTTTGCTCCAGCTTACCTGTAAGTCTGCTGCCTTGCCATGCAGGATTTTCTTCAGACAAGTTTTGTCCCCAAGTGAATTCTGTGTGCAAAGCAACTAAGTTATTGTTTGTCAGTAGCTTTTAATTATCCCAAATCTTTTGCTTATGTTTTGTGATGCATCATTTATTGAGTAAAATAGTTAGTTCAGATAAATGGAGATGATTACTCAGAGAACTGAACAAAATGATTCTTCTAATTGAAAAGCCCTGGGAGACAGTCCTCTGACCAAGGAATAAGGCTTTTCTTCATAGACACACTGACCCCTAGTTCAGGTTTAACTGTTCTTTCTCCCACAGCTCACTTGCAGAGGGGAGACAATCCTCTGACCAAGGAGTAAGGCTTTTCTTCAGACGCACTCACCCCTAGTTCAGTTTTACCTGTTCTTTCTCCCACAGCTCACTTGCAGACTAACTGGAGATTCTTTAATGAAGTTGTCTATTTGCAACAGCATTTTACCACAACAGTAGATACAGGAAAAAACATTCTTCTCTATTTTCTTAAACAGGTTTCTTTTGAATTTCGTTCACTTCTACACTCAAAACTCGCCACACTGTTTTTTGATGAAGTGGTAAAGCAGATGGTAGCTGCCTTTGAAAGAAGAGCATCCAAACTCCATGGCCCAGAAACAAGCATACCTCGGGAGCTAATGCTTCATGAAGTTCATCACACATGAAAGGGAAAATTGTAACAACCTCCATTATAAACTTGTTTGTACGCTTCATTTGTACAAGAGGTGCCGTGCTCCTCCTTTGGGGCATCTATTTCATATCTGAGCTTTGTGTGTGATTTTATACTGTACAAAACACACCTGTATATGTATACATATAGATGTATATAGAATGTTCAAGCTGCAATCAAGTGCAACTTAAAGCGTTATCAGTAACAGTTGGCAGCTACTGTAACACAAGGTATCTTAGGCTGCCATTTATTAGCTTGCCAAATGGTTTGTGTAGTCACAGCGTAAGTTCTGCCTTACCCAAGCTTACGGATTTCTTTCAGCATTGTAACATTAACTCAAGTTTAAGTTGTTAGCAGTGTGAACATAACAGCATCAACTCGGCCAACTCTGGCCAAGCAAAGGGAAACTGACATTCTAGCTGTGGGGGGAATGGAACAGTTTGTCAAGCATCGCGTAGCAGGTGCTTTTAATCCAAATGAGTGACAAGGGTAAGTCAGGAGTCTCCAGCTGCTGTTGAATTCTGACCAGCAACTGCAACAGAAAAAAACACCACAGCCTGAACGCTCTTTGAGTCTACAGAAGTGAAATGGAAGGGGCACACGCAGTGCAGGGAGTGCTGTAATGCGAGTGCTGCAGTTTCAGCTCTAGCCAGGGGTTCTGGGCTCCAGCCACTGACAAATTTGTAGTGTGCTTGGCAGGCTGGACTTGCCTACCTGCCCCTCTCTCACTGTTAGACCTTGCACTGGGGCCAGGGTAGGTACATCTCATCCAGTGCAGACAGCTCCCAGGTCTGACACAACTTCAAACCAACAAAATACACATTACCTCTTTGAGAGCGAGGGCACAACATTCTGTACCGCAGTGCTGTCCTCCCTGGAAGGAGGGAACAAGATGTCCTCCAGTTACTGCAGACGAGCACACCCAAGGCCAGTTGTCACTAAAAAACACACAATGGAGAGCTGAACTGTAGTTCTTAGGGTTTTTTCCAGTACCATACTACCATTTAATTATCAGTCCATTATGATGGTACCAACCATCTTGATTAAATTAATTTTCAGTAGTTCTATTCCTTACGCTAATATTCTCTTTCCAGTCTCTGAAGAAAGAGAGGTTTGAACAAATTTTAAATTCTGGCTATACGCTGCCTTGCATTACCAAATTCCTTGCTAACATTAGGTGAAGCTTCAGGCCAGGTGTTGAAGCTGGTCCTTTCTCCAAAGTGTCCATAATCCACGTGGTTACTACAGAACAGCGTATTAAATAACAGGAAGGTATGTTCTGTTTCAGCACAGAGACAGCCCTGAAGCAGTTTCAGACCAGTTTTAGGTACTTTTCCAGAAAGAGCAATTGAAATTTCACACACCCCATCTGCAAAGGGCAGTTCTTATTAAAGACAGGAAGCTGGGGAAAGTGACAGCTGGGTGAAGAGGTCCGTTTTAAAGCACTGAGAAGGTGTAAGGCAATTTTGTTTGCTGAGACAATCAGAAACATGCACAAGTTTGGGAACACCGTTGTTTTGAAGTTTGGAAGGCAGAAAAGACTGTGCATCAATGTTACTAGCTGTGTCAGGTCAGAGAGTGCAGTAGGTGGCAAAGCAAGCTGTCGTTTTTACAGGTAAAGAAGCATCTAGTGCAAAATAATTCAAACTAAATGGTGGAAGCTGGAACCAGAGAGCTGGAGGAAGCCTCAAGGCAAGGAGGTAACCACATACTGCACCTGAGCAAGAGAAGCATTAAAAAAACCCCGCAGCCCTTTCTTAGCAGAAAACTTACCTGTTTCATACCCTCGGGGCACTTTCCCTCCCACAGTACTGCAAAAGATGCGCTGGGCCTGCTGCAGCAGGCAGAACGAGCGGTACAGACAGGGCAAAATAAAGTCAATGCACGTGCCTTGTTTTCATAGCATTGTTTAATACTTTAAAGAACTGTAGTGTCAGTCCAGCTTAGGTATTTCTTACCAAAATTAAAGTCACTTGTACTTCTGAGAAACATTCTAGACAAAGGAATGTTTCTTGGTGGGAAAGGGCCTGTCCTTTCCAAGCCTCTGTGTCAGATTTCTAGTAAATCTTAGAAGCAGCAGGCTGCCACGGTTCTCCCATGACTATGGCTTTGTGTGCAGATGAATAAGGTGATACATTTCGTAACTTTCGAGCAGTTTGTTTTATTACATAAAGGTCACATCACTGTATATTTGCCTACTTTGTACATAATTGTCTAGTCTCACGCACAGTGGCTTCCAAGTTCTTCCTAGTACTGGCAAGCACCCATGAATTCCAAAACAGAATATCAAGTGCCTTAATTAAGTTTAAATCAGGACCTTGGTAGATGGATCTTGCACCCAGTTATCAGGAATGTACAAATGTCTTTATTCAAAAAATACAAAATAAATTATCTGTAGGCATGGACAATGACTGTAAACAATTACACGTGTGTTAAATGAAATCCAGTAACTGATGGTTACAGTGATTCTTTTAAACACCAGCCTCACTTCAGTCACTATCCACCCTCTTGCGCTGACATCTGAAGTTTTTAAAGTCAGAACTGTCAGTCTTCAACAGCACAGCTCATGATGCATCCCCACCCCAGGAATCAGAACATGCCGCCCCCCATTCCTCCGCCCATCCCACCCATTCCTCCCATTGCCGGCTCTTTTTCTTCTTTAGGAATTTCAGTCACCACTGCTTCTGCCGTTGACAAGAGAGACGCAACACCTGCAGCGTCCATCAGAGCAGTTCTCACAACCTAAAAATAGGAAAGGAACAACTCAGTACCTGCTGACTATCACGTGAGCTGGGAGGAAGGACAGCTGAGCATTACGACTATTTTAGGTTACCTTCGTCGGGTCTATGATTCCTTTTTCTACCATATTTACAAAGTCCCCAAGCATTGCATCATAGCCAACTTCTGATGGGCTCTGCAGGATTTTTTCAACTATTAACGATCCTTCAACACCTGCATTCTTTGCAATAGTCATTGCTGGGATTTTCAGTGTTCTCTTTATTATTTCAATGCCTGTAAGAAAAAGGATGTTTAGGATTACACGCTGCATACGCTGCTTCTATTGCCAAGGCGTGCCTTCCTGTGCTGGAGATCAACACAGAGAGAGAAACCCCTGAGCAAGAACATAAGCTATTTTTATCAATTCCAGGGAAAAAAGTTCTCTCCTACTTGACATTTGTCAACAAAAGAAATCTTTGCAGGATATTCACACACATTTTAGTTTTCCTTCTGCAAAAGGTAGTCAGGAGCAGCATTATTGTAACGTGGCACAAAGCCTTTTTCCATTTGATTTGCCGCACAATCTCTTCAGCGTTCTTAGATTTTATGTCTGTCTGCAGTGGCTGTAACGGTCAGCACAACTCGCCTTTAACAGTTTGCAACTCTCTGCGGGGGGTACTGCTGCCTTGTTACTGGTTCGTTCACATCCAAGTCAGGGACACAGTGAAAGCTCCTTCCCACTGTAAAGCAGAGACCGCCATGCCAAGGGGATATGAGGTTCTAAAGATCAAGTCACTAAAAACTCGATGAAAGCAATCTGTATTTAATCTTACAAAGCCTCAGGACAGAAGAAAGTCTATTCTGAACACTTCCACATGCACATTCCAGTAATTTACTTACCAATTTTCTGATCTTCATTGGCTGGAGCTAAAGCATCTAATGCTGGAATGCAGCGAAGCAACGCACAGCCACCGCCTGGAACGATGCCTTCCTCTACAGCAGCACGGGTGGCGTTCAGCGCATCGGTAACTCTGTCCTTCTTCTCATTCACCTCCACATCGCTTGTGCCACCCACCTAGAAGCAAGCCACATGTCAAGGAGCTTGGGCAGGAGAGTGCTGCTGGCTATGGAACTGCTGCCGCAAAATTAAACAGCCAACTTGAGTCATTAACCGGCTCTGGCTTTCTGCCATGCTCTCCCATACCAGCAGTGTTCTTCTGTACCCCAGCACTCAGGAAGCCTAAGCACACAGTTTTAGTTGTAGTAACTTAGATTAGCAATAAAGGACTGGCACTAAGTTGTTTAACTTCTCACCTTCAATACTGCTACTCCGTCAGAGAGTTTGGCCAATCGCTCATTCAGTTTCTCTTTTTCGTAGTCACTTGTGGTAACTTCTAGCTGTTCAATAATTTCTTGAATACGTTTTTCAATTTGAGCCTTTTCACCCTTCCCCTTTAGAAGCATGGTGTCATCTTTTGTCACAATGACCTCTCCAACTTTACCAAAGTCGTGAGGCTGAATATCTTCCACATTTAGGGTCAGGCCCTCTTCTCCAAACACCTGAAACAAATTACAAGAAAAGTTGGAATTCGCAGCTTCTCCAGACGCTAGTTTTTTATTTATAGACACACGAATGTATCCAGCCAGCTAACAGTGCAAAATAATCACACTACTGCAGCCAAGTTGAACAAAACTCTTCCTTCTCCTAACAGAGCCCAGGCACACAGGTACCGCACAAACCGGCCTGCAGGGGATAGGGAGCTGCCAATTCCTCATTTGTGACTGACTCACCTAACTCACCGATACAAAGTGCCTGGAAAGCAGAGCTGCCTTACAGAGAACTCCTCGTGTTTCAAGAGGTTACAAATATTGGCACGAAACTGACTTCGGAAGAGAGTTTGCTGGTTTTGTTACTTTGTGCTCCAGTTAGCTTAAACACTAAGTTTTATTTCAAGAACCACCTTTGGATCCCAGTCTCATGCTGTGATTTTGAAGTGTGCAAGAAAAGCAGCACAAAGGGACACTCATCAGCACATTAACCATTTGAGAAGTTGAGTACAAAAGAAAATTACCCAGTCTATTCCAAACATTTACAAGAATTGTAGTTGCCATACTCGAGTCTGGGAAATTATGAGACAGTTTTATAAGGTGGCAAGAAAGCTTTGCTATTTCCAAGAAATTTCCTTGATATTCCTCCTTCCCCTTAACAGCCTAAATACTGCAAGGAAATTGTGTGTAACTTCAGCCAGTTAAAAGGACACAGTACTCGTGGTTGGTCAGGGCTGTATGACACAGCAACGATCAATATCCGCATTTTAAAAAAATATGAAGATTCAAACATTAGTTACTGTCACGTTTTTGAAGGAACAGAACATAGCCTGCAACACAGCAAATACAAGCCATGGACCTAAAA